TAGCGCTAGTAGGCCATGTGGCCAGATGACGAACATGTCATCATCTATGTATCTCTTCCACAAGGAAGGACGTAGGGTGGATGCCTGGATGGCATCTGTCTCAAATTTTCCATGAAAACATCACTATCCAGGACTGGATAGCAGCCAGACAGGAGGGGATATGAGAGCAACGGTCCAGGGGTAAATGAAGGAAAGGAGAAGAATATTTGGGTATCATTAGTCAAGAAATTCAGAGGAATGCAGAAAAAGGAGATAATAGATTCAAGAGGCGAAATATCAAAGGGAGAAAAGAAAAGGGCCCAGAACCGAACCGTGCGGAACACCGACCCTAGGGGAGGGAGGGGATACGGAGTGACTGAAGGAGACTGAGGATGTGCGAGAAGTAAGGTGAGATTTGAGCCAGGATAGGGGGTGTTGCCAGAGATTCCGAGGTCAGAAAGAAGAGTGGGTGATCAACAGCATCAAAGGCAGACGAAAGGTCAATTAAATTCAGATTATTCTTGCATCGCGGCACCGTGAGGGGAGGGTATCAGCTTTGGGGAGGCCTTCATCCAGCAGTAGATTGACCACGGCCTATTAATTGTTTTGTTGAATGCTGCACACACGCCGTGCAGAGCAAGAGGCAATCATCCACACGGCACGACCTGTACATGTTTCTGCCTCTTGCCCTGATGTGTCGTATTTCCCGGTGCCACTGAACCCTCACGCTTGAACTGGAGAGCTGTTAACCCACGTCAGGTGTTCACAGTGATTTCAAAATCAATGTCAATGCGCTGGAGTTAATTCTGCCATACGGTGTCAGCAGACATTATTCTGAATCTGGCCAAGGTGGCGAGATGTTAACTACCTCGCCTGGCATGCAGGAGGTCCTGGGTTTGATCCCGACCCTGACGCCTGTATTTTTGGAGTTTGTGGTGTCTCTCACCCCGTGGTCGCGTGGATTTTGGTCAGGGTCCTCCGGTTTTCCCCTCCACATTTAGAGACATAAGTTTACAGTCTTTGGCTGCTATGTTTCCACGGGGTAAGCGACTTCGTTCAGCTATCATTTGTGACCAAGTCGCATCTGAATAAGGGCCATATTGCTCAGGGGGCCTTACTTGGTAAAATAAAAATTGTTTATAATTAGTCAAAGAGAGTCACCTGGCTGGGTGGTGGAAAGTTGTGAGTTGAAATCCCTTTCGGGGTCAACTCATCCTTTCCTCTCTCCACGGTGGTTAAAATAAGTACATGCTTTGCGGGGAAGTGAATTTCCTAGATGTCAACAGAAAGATTCACACTTTGCATAGGAAGCAGTAACTAATCGGCAGAACCAATTGGCTTTGTCGGTTGATAGTGGGTTAACGACACATTTATATTTATGCGATCTAACCCAAAAAAAACTTAACCTTGATTCTGAATTTGTCATAGGAATGTGTAATTTTCTCCATTTCTGCACGAGATGAGCACCAATTGACGTTCCGGTGTGAGGGAAGCTGCTTCGGGTAATTGTCTCGCTCAGCTGCTACCGACAGTGGCGTCGGACAAAAACCTCGGACCAGCGTCCTATGGGGGTTCTGTACGGGTCAGTTTAACACGTGGTCGTAGTAGTCGTAGGCTTTCCCGACCAATATTATTCATAATACATTTTTTTGGGTTAGATGGCGTAAATAAAAATGTGTCGTTAAATCCGGTGACCACCCGACACAGCCAATGAGTAAGGTTTGTCACGTCAACAAAACGTGTACAATGAGTTACCACTTCAGCACCACGGTGTGTTGGAGAGTAAACTCACAACGCATACAACTTAACTACCGTGAGTTTTCGCTGGTGATTACAACAAGCAGCTTCATCAGGCGATTTTGCCAGAGTTGGCGAATCGTACGATGACTTCTTTAAACAGAGTGACCGAGCAGTCTCTTAACAGCGTTCTCACCTGGACGGAATCTGTCTACTTAAACTTCGGGGACGCGTGCATTTTAACTCCTGTCCCAAGACGGGGCATATTACAGGGTGGGTGTCTTGTTCACTGCTGAATCTCAGAACACGTGAGTAGTTAGTGTTAATGTTATTTTAGAGAAGCATAGTGCCGCTGTTTGTACTCACCGCAGAGAACTTTAGAGACACGCCCGCAACTTTATGACAGCTGGAACCAAACTGTGCCACATGCCCTCCAGCATCGCCTTGTACTTCCGATTCCATTCCGATGTATGTCATCGGAACAGAATCGATGATGTATGTCTACGTACACATAAGTCATCGGAACGGGATCTGAAGAAAAACTGATAACGTACACGTTGCACGCGTCCTACGTCATCGGAATGGGAAAGGGTTAATCCTGTCCTTGAGCAGGGTAGCGTTTTCTGAAGGACGTTTACATTGTATGTCCATCCTATCCCATTTGCTGCAAAGAATGTATATTTTAATAAATGGCATTACACCAAAATAAGTTAAAGAATCAGGTTTATTTGATATAATCGGGCGGGAACTCAAGAGACCAGGATTTGTGTTATTTACACGATCAACCTGGGGCATTCGTCTGCCAGTATGGGGGGAAGATGATTGCTCTGTAGAATCCCAATTGTGGTCATTTGGCAAATTTATTTACCCTGACAGCCGGCACACGACGTCCTTCTCTTGCAGATGACGTCGGGGGATCTTGAACATCCACCGTGAAGCAGATGTCACGTTGTGCCATCGCGGCATTCGACGTTGCGATAATTACCAGGGCGGCTGTTGAATTCTAACCGTGAGCCTCTGCATGAAGCGGCGAATGCATTAGCGCCGATTCCACGTCACCGCTGGTGCGACGTCACCGCTCTTAATAGCAAAATAATAGCAAGGTGAAGTGGAATGGCGGTGTGTGTTTTGCATGCGGTGCTTACCACGGTATCCCGAGCTAATGACCCACTCGTGTCGGACGCAAATGTCTCAAATTCCGTGGCGTCGCCGCGGTGACCGATGAGGGCCCAGGCGCGATCTCGCCGCCGGTGTTGAAACGGATTGAGCGCGGTCCGCCGGAAATTAACCCGTCGTGTTAATTCATGGAAGAGGACTAATATGAAGAGGCTTGCTAATGTACAATTGGGGAAGTCCAGTCCTTTTCGGTCACTCGGCTGTCAAATGTTGGTCTCGCTCTGCGCGTGCGCGTGTGGTGGATGTTCGACTGTCGCGGTCGCCGCGTGTCATTTGCACATCTCGTCGCGCCAGCCCATTGCGTGCACATTGTAATAATTTTGTGCTCTCGCCGTAGCGTTGGGGGATTTCATTCTCCAGCCCCGTTGCGCTCGCCACTTAATTTCGGTGCTGCCGACTGCCAGCCGCGTTAATGAATTTGCTTGTAATTTTTAGAAAATTCTAAATGTGAGGCAGAGAAGCGCGTCATAATAAGACGGTGGGATTTTGAGGACACAGGGCTGCCTGTCATCGGTTCCCCACTTACCACCGGCCAGCAGACTTGGACGATTTATTCAGGAATCTAAGCAGGTTCACGTCATGAGTTGGGTCCAAAAGAAATATAAAAAATTGCATCGCAGCGATCTCCTGGTTTTGCCTCCAACCCCTTCCACCAAAAACTGCACGATGCTCTTTTATTTCGAGCTCACATTATAATCTCGACTTAGGCTTTTCAGATAAAAAAAAGATCCCCTAAAAGCCACGCGGTAATAATCTTACGTCGAACGGATTATTACCGATGAATACATAGCACGCGCACGACTGCACTGAGCCATGATTTCGCGTGAACATGAAACGAGCGGTGACGGTCGCTCCGCGGTGGATGCACGAGTCGAACTGCGAGAGGTCGTGATGTCGAGTCGGGAATGTTTACACGCTCTCGCCTCGGTGCTCGCTCTCCTGGATCTGCCTTCCAGGGTTGCGATTTCCGCATGGAAAATGCGGAAGGAGGGTTCAAATTTTCCCGCATTTTTGCTAAAGTCAACCGCAAACGGTGGAAAGACTACTCCTATGACCGCGCGCTTTTAACAACACGTTAATGCGTTCTATTGGAAAGGATACATCATGTACATGTGCTCGTAATCACGGCTCCGCATTTGAATAAAGTATGTGGTTCTTGTGCGGAAATGCGGAAATCATATATTCATTCCAATCAGTAACTCAAAGCCCTACGTGATGCTGGGCCTTGCATGTATCCTTTCCAATAGAACGCATTAACGTGTTGTTAAAAGCGCGCGGTCATAGGAGTAGTCTTTCCACCGTTTGCGGTTGACTTTAGCAAAAATGCGGGAAAATTTGAACCCTCCTTCCGCATTTTCCATGCGGAAATCGCAACCCTGCTGCCTTCCCCCACCCATCCGTGCTGTTGACTCCCCGCCCCTGTTATAATTCTAGGCTCAAGCCTTCCGCTCCTCCTGCCTATGACTGATGGTGTTTTTCTGTCTATGTATGTATGGTCAACTTCTTTCGCACCATACGTAGCCAACCGCGTTAATCAGAGGTGCGGGGGAAGGACAATAAGCTAAACACACGAAACCATTCTAAAGAAATTAGTTTTCAATCTATGAAATTAAGACGCTCCCTGTTTCTGTACGGTGTCTGGAGATGCGGTCACATTGAGTTGCTACGTACATTCGAATTGAATTATGTTGACACTCTATTGACCGTCCTAAGCCAGTGGGGAGGTTCACTCTTTCCTCTCGCAGGGGCCACTGGAAGGGCTCTCTTCCTGTGACCTTTATTTCCACACTAGGGGGGGGGGACATTCCCACAATGCCCAACTGCAGAATAAAAAATTGGCCAAATTAGGTGTGAAGTCATTTGTGAATGGACAGAACCAATCAACTTGGCACACTCGAGGAGTCAGTTTCATTGAATCGCTAGGGCTGGATTCGAACCCAGGCTCTCAGCGGTGCTGGCTCGGCGTCGACGAACCCTGAGCCACTCAGCCACCACTGCATGGCAGTTACACCGGCGCGGTACGGCGCTGAGCCATGCTGAGTGGTACCGAGCGGTACCTAGTGGCACCGAGCGGTAGCGAGCGGTGCGGTGTTCCCCGGCGTGTGCAGCACCCCCCAGCGCTCCGTGTCCCACGCGGAGCCCAGCGAGGAGGAGCACTTTGAGGACTACGGCGAAGGCGACGAGAGCGACTTCGTGTCGGAGCCGCACAGCGAGCGCCAGGGCGGCGCCTTCCTGGACGCGCCTGCCGGCTCCGTGCCCACCAGGTACCCCCATGTCACCCCCTCCCCCGCGTCACCCCCACCCCCCCGCGTCACCCCACTGTGGCCGCGATCCGCAGGGCCTCCGGCGCGAGGCTTTGCCCCTGCGCACTCTTCGCTGTTGTCTAGATCAAGCGCCAATCTGCTAATCGAGTGACCGCGTGTGGTTTCTTCGTGATTGTGGATCAATCCACGCTGCCATGGTGATTTTTCTCTGCCACGGCCTTCTCTGCTCTCCCCCGCTGCTTGTCCCCGTCTCCTCCCTGGCGCCTCTTTGCCTTCCTCCCTGCTCTCACCTCACGCATCTTCCCGTCACCTCTTCTCATCTCATCCCCTTTTCTCTCCTTCTCTTTTTACATCTCAATCTGCATCTCTGTTCCTCTCCACGCATCTGCCTGGCTACTCTCGGCCTCTTCCCACATCCGCTATCTTGCTCGCACCTCAAACTCTCCTCTACCCTCACCCTTGCTCTTCTCGCCTCTCCTCGCCTCTCCTCAAACTCTCCTATACCCTCACCCCTGCTCTTCCCTCCTCTCCTCGCCTCTCCTCGCCTCTCGCCCTCCTCCGCCGTCCCTCGTTTCTCGCCGCCGCTTCCTCCCCGCTCGGGCCTCAGCCCGTCGGAGCGCTCGCAGCGCCGCTGGCTGGGCCTCTTCCCGCCCAGCCCGGGCCTGGCACTCTACTGCAGCCAGTGCAGCCGCCGTGTGGACCTCCTGCGCCAGCTCGACGCACGCCTGCGCCACCTCGAGGCGCACAGGTACCGCTCTTCCCGTGGCCGGTGCCCACCTCAGGCCCCACCGGCCCCATCGCCCTCCCCTTGAGCTCGCAAGAAGGAGCCACAGTGTGACCCAATGGCAGTACCCGGCAAAATTCTCCTGATCGATCGGTTGGAATGAGCAGAGTTTTTCGTGGATGGCTTAGGCCCTCGGTGTAAGGAATGAAATAATGAAGTGGTGTTTTCTGTCCGATTGCTCCTCTCTAAGCCGCTCCAGCCCATGGACACCAGTGCAGGTTCATCGCTTGGCATGCACTGGTGGTTGGGGTGGTGCAGTGGGGGGGCGATGGGGAAGATCGCCCCTCCCCACCGCCTCATCCCCACAGATGGCGAAGCACTCGGCAGTGATCTCCAGCCGTAACTTTTACAATTTTCAATTCGGCCGAGTGGCGTTGCGGCTGGAATTTAAAGTGGGTCCTGGCTTCTCTACTCGGCACGTTGGGTTCTCGGCGTGAGCGGCGCTCGTTAGCTCCACGCTCGCCGCTAATTGGCCGGCCTAGTGCCGTCTCGTGTCCTGCTCCAATTAGGCCGCCCTTGCCTCGCTGTGGAGATGCTGCAAGTGTTGCTCATCTGTGAGCAAAAGTAAAATAATCAAAACATTAGTAGAGCCTCCTCCTGGGTCCAGCACCACGCCTGGCCGCCTTTATCTCTCGAGTGGCGATGTTTTTACACAGAGCATTAGATACTCAACAAGGAATCCCCGTATAGCCGTTAACAGACCTTTGGGGGAAGTGCTGCTAGCGAGCACCTTTGAAAGCAGGCACGGCACACGAGAGGGTGAGTGGCCAGCATCAACGCCCTAGTAAACATCGCCCTCGTGGCGATGTTTACACACCGCACCAGGTACTTGCTTAAGGCGACATATGGGAGGCTCAGGACCGGTTCAGATAATCATCATTGGTGTAGGTGGCCATGACCAGGAATCGAACCTGGGTCGCGGGTTCGTAGCGCAGCACGCTAACCACGACACGACCGCTCCCCATACACACAGCAAACACACAATGACACGAATACAATAAAAAAAATCTAATCTATATCCTCTACAGTGCGCAATACGATGAACATGGCACCCAGTCAAATGCATGAATGACTGTGTACACAGATATTGAAGTGGTGCACACCGCGTGGAGTGGGCGCTGCGGCTGTCACAGTTGCAGTGGATGTCGTGCGCGGAGCACGTTCTGTTTTGATCCACGACATGAGCATGTCGAGACTGGCGGCACGTGTCGGCCTGCGACGGAAGGGATCGTTCCGTGCTGATCGGCTCTTTGTCGGAGCGAGAGCCGTGTCCTGCGTTCACCTCTTTACTCCGGAGGGGCGGGGGGTCTTTAACCGCTGTGACATTGGGACCGTAGAGCAGACCAGCGACCGTTGGCTTGCGGTCGGCCCTTGTTCAGCTCCTCCCAGCTGCACCCACTGATTTGCGGTGCCTTTGTTCTCTTTTTCAGCCCCAATCGGAGGATATCTACGAATGCGTTTGCCAGGTGAGAGGAGTGCTGCTGGGTTTTAGCTCGTGAAAGCGCGCGCCTCCGATACAGAAGTTTGGAAGCCGGCGAGGTTAAGACGTGGAAGCTGCACTATGAGAGGAGGCTCACGGACCCCGAACATTGATTGGCCTCAGCTTTCAATCCTCGCATTCATGCTGGATGATTTCAAAACTTGAGTCCTTGCGCTCCACATTTCGGCTAATATTCTCCTTTCAGTGGCACATAGAGTCACACTGCAGGTTGGAATGGCAATGCGTTGTGTACGTCGCTTCATTCTGTCGCAGGGGCACACCATTCGCACGGTCAGACCCTGGCGGCTGAGTTCAGTCATCAGGACGAGCTCTCGTTCTTCTGTGTCCAAACTGAATGGGACGATTAGAGAATCGGTGATGATGTTGACATTGATGGTCTGATGGTTATGATGATGATGTTGTTGATGATGCTGACTTTGATGATGATCACGATGACGTCACTAATGATGATGGTGATGTTGAAGGAGTGCTGCGGTGGTGAGGAGGTCGTGGTTCGAATCCTACCTTGACGCCTGCTGCTGTATATTTGGAGGTTGCATGGCTTTCTCCCCGTGGTCGTGTGGATTTTTCTCCAGGTGCTCCGGGTTTTCCCTCCATATTTAGAATCAACACGCGTTTCGAGTATTTGGCTGCTATAAATTTCCACGTAATAAGCCACTTCGTTGAACTATCATTTGTGGCCAGGTCATTTCTGAAAAAGAGCTATATAGCTCAGTGCCCCTTAAAGTTTATTTTTTTTTATACACACGGCACACACACGGCCCCTAACAGCCTCGTTGGCCTCCCCCACTGCACTCGCCAAAGCGTCTCCACTCCACTTTGTCTCTTCCACTTAGGGACCCCAGCTCGCCTGGTGGGGTTGCTCCCCGCCCCCCCCCCGCACCTAACCCCACCCAACCCCATCTGACCGCACGCCGCGCCTTCCCCTGTTTTTTTTTCTTCAATAAAATACTTCTGGTGACAAAAAAACCTGATACGGCGAATAGAAGTAAATGGAAATCGGAGCAATGAATGACCAAAGAGAAATTATGGGGGGAAAATAATACAAATAAACCGCACTACATAAGATGTCAATCCGATCGACAACGCGTGAAGGCGGTGCCGCCGACGATGCCCGACGCTGACGAATCCCCCACAGGCAGCTGCTGAACCACAGCTCGCTGAGCAGCGCGGCGGGCAGCACGGAGGACCTCTACACGGAGAGCCTGGACCTGGGCGGCCCCGACATCGGGGAGAAGGTGAGCGCCACGCACGCCCACTCGTGCCCTCGCCGCCTCGTGGCCCCAACGACCCTCATCGGCATTCCTGACCCTGGGTGGCACCAGAATTTTACAAATCGGGGGTGGGGAGGTGGAGGATGCGTGGGCTAAATGACGTGGTGGTGGGAGGGGATGGGGGGGGGGGCGGTGGGAGGGAGGGAGGGGAGTGGGGACCGGGTCTTGGCTGAGGCGGCACCACAAATGTTCATAGAAGCAGGAATGGCGCGATGTATGCTGCACGGAGGAGCCGTAGTCGATTGGATACGTGGAAGCTGCACTGAACAGCTCCTGCATTGAACAGCTGCACTGAGGGGATACGTGGAAGCTGCACTGAACACGCAACCAATGGGGGTTATAATCCTCGCCTCGGAATCAGTTTCATCTCTACCCACCCCCTCGGCTACAGCGTCTCTCCCCCGAGCGATGCTGCCTTTAGCTTAATTCGTATGATACATTGTATTATATATCTATATATATAAAAGGGAAATCTGTGAATATTTGTGTCTGTTCAAAATGTTAGCGTACTTTCCGACATGCAACAAACTTGAAATTTGCAAAAATTATAAAAATAGACTTTTGATATTTTTGGGGGGGGGGGGGGGGGCGCAATAATGCATATATTTTGCACGGCAAGTGAGCTGTGACGTCACATCTGTCATGTGACCCCTATACGGAAGTGAAACGGCGTGTGCCTGCTGATGTCCCCCCTCCAACCCTCCATGGGTAAAGTGAAATACAAATGTGTTGCAGGTTTAAGGCGTTCTTCGCGCAGCATTGCTTTATTGTTTGAGTAGTTTACTGCCCTACGCACCCTGAAAGTTGCGTGTCTGCAGCAAGCGCGTGTGTGTGGGGGGAGCGGCAGTGTAGTGGTTAGCGCTACGCTGCGCTACGAACCCGGCAACACGAGTTCGATTCCCACTCACGGCCACCGCCGGTGACGATTATATGAACCGGTCCTGGGCCTCCCCTAGGTCGACTCAGCCTCAAACGAGTAAATGGTGCGGTGTGTCAACATCGCCACTGGCGAGACAAAGGCGGCCGGCCGTGGTGAATCCAAGTCCCGGGCGAAGCCGGGTAGTGAAGCTAGTACTAGTATATATAATACTACACACATTGTCTACGTGCGGTTGGCTACATACGGTGTGAAAGACATTCGATTGCTGGTGGGCAGCTTGAAGTCATCTCCTCGACAGGCTGCCAAACGGGGGCCATGGCACCTCGCCCATCCCCACGGCCTCGGGGAACGTGATTGTTGTCATTGTTCTCACCATGAACATCGTCATCATTGTCATCATAACTCATCATGTTCACCGCCGTCACGCCTCCTCCTCCTCGTCGTGGTTGTCGATGATGACCCCCCCGCGTGCCGTGTGCCAGGTGAGCATGCTGGAGAAGAAGGTGCTGGAGCTGGAGACTGACACGGTGGCCAACTGCGACCTGCAGAGCAAGCTCAAGCAGGAGAACCTGCACCTGGTGCACAGGTGCGCGCGGCGCCGTGCACGCACGCACGCACGCACTCACGACTCACGCACTCTCTCACGCACTCACTTACTCACTGACTCACGCACTCATGCACGCACTCATGCACGCACTCGCTCACACACTCACTCACGCACTCACTCACGCACTCACTCACCGACTCACTCACTCATGCATTCACTCACACACTCACGCACTCACGCACTCACTCACTCACTCACACATTCACTCACCGACTCACTCATGCATTCACTCACACACTCACTCATGCATTCACTCACACACTCACTCATGCATTCACTCACACACTCACTCATGCATTCACTCACACACTCACTCACGCACTCACTCACTCACTCTCACGCACTCGCGCACTCACTCATCCATTCACTCACACACTCACTCATGCATTCACTCACGCACTCACTCATGTACGCGGCGGTGGCTGCGGTGGTGGCGGCTAATCCCGTGGTACGTTTGCGGCAGGATCCACGAGCTGGAGGAGCAGCTCAAGGACACTGAGGTGCGCGGCGAGGAGCGGCTGGAGGAGGATGCACGGCGCCACCGCGAGCAGACGACACGGCTCACTCGCGAGAAGAATGCCCAGATGGAGACGCTCGCCAACAGGTGCCGCTCACTCGCTCGTTCGTCGCTATGTGGAGGGGCCATCGGTTCCTCCATCATCGTCGTCGACAGAGCAGCAGCAGCCATGATCTATGCGCTGCTGGATGAAAGCCTCCCCAAGCCATCGTCATCCTTAGTGGTCCCTTCTAGCACCAATGAAATAGGCACGAGCCTATTTCATTGCTACATCTCCGCGGTTTACGTCCATTGTGTTATGTTTCCCTCAATTGGCTGCCACTCCATTGTGAGCTTTGGCCGCTGGTCACTTCACTCCCAGAGACGTGTCCTCCCCAGACCCGCTTAATTTTCAGTCACTTTGACGTCTCTGGCTTTCTCTCATCCGTGTGTTCCTCTTCCTGAATTCCAAGCATGCACATCTCTGTGGTTCGGTAATGCTACCGTTCGTTTAGATGTACACGTTCACGTTTAAAATCTGGCATTGAAGTCAACTCCGCACGGTGCGGCATCTGAGCAGCTTCAATACGAGCACCCCAACCCCCTCTGCGCCCACCGTGAAGATCCTGGGTCTTGGTGGAGTCCTCGTGCGTCCTATCACAGTTGGAGTATTCCATAGTGCATTGTGGAAGCCACGCACGCAGTGCATTATGGGAGTCACGCAGTGCATTGTGGGCACCACGCTGCGCACCGCGGGGCCATGTTTGCGCCGGGTGCTGCCCGCACCACAAGCTTGTGCCGCCACCGTGACCATAGGTGCCGTGTGTTTGCGCGCCGCGCACGCGTGCGTGTCCAGGCTGCTCCTGGTGGAGGAGGAAAACGAGGCGTTTCAGACCACAGTGCCACGACTCAAGACGCAGATAGAGAAACTCGAAGAGGTGAGCTCTCGTTTACCACTTCATTGCTGATGTGGGCAACGATGTAAATATACCGGCTGCGGGTGAAATCACGCGGTCCCCCCCCCGAAAAGACAATGGCGATTGCTTTCTCTGCAGAGAACTCCCCTTTTGTCATTTACCAGCTCACGGTAAACTCCCCTCCGATTCTCACGTTTGGATACGTACGGTGCAAAAGAAGTTCAACATGCATACTGTACATAACCACACGCCGTCTGCTTCACAGCGCGCATTAAAGATGCCGTGACGTTGGGGGGAAAAAAGTGTTGGCAGCGTCTCGATCTAAATTTGGCGAATGGTAAAACAAAAAATACTCGAAAAATAAGTTAATTAGGTAGAACCGCACAGAAACATCGCCCCTCTCTGATAGACTTTACCCGCCTGTGAAACAAAACGCCTTTGTGATAGCCGGGCACGAATACGAAGGCGTGAACACCGTTTAGTGTGTATCGATTTGATTTGAAGGATTGTCTCCGGGACATCAATAACCTCGTGGTGAATGTTGCTGGGGTAGAGACGATCATTTTGCTCAACCCATCACCCCGTATCTGCTCACCCACCCCCTCCCACCCCACCACCGTGGCGTCTCCAGGAGAAGACGCGTCTGGAGGAGCGTCTGGAGGACCTTGTGCTGCGCGTGAAGGACGAGATGGACTTGAGCAAGAAGCTCTCGGACAAGATGAAGCGCGACCGGCACGAGTTCCAGAAGGAGAGGGAAGCCACGCAGGAGGTTTGCCATTGTCCGCCGCGTGACCACGCCTCGCTCCCACAATCCCCCTGACTGACAGCAGCTAACGAATATCGGCCGGGTGCTAAATGGGGCGCACGCAGAGCCGGGGAGACTGCGCCCGAGGGCAACTCGAGGGGCGCCACGTGACGAGGGGCGCGACGCGACGAGGGGCGCGACGACGGCGGTGCCGCGCTACCTCGTTTGTGTCCGTCGTGCACGTGACTGATGATGTTGCAGGGCACATGGGGGTTTTATTCTGCAGCCCGATAGAAAATAGTTACTGCTCCATAGGTGAAGCAAAGCGCTTGTAACTTGTAAGGCTGAAACATCGCGTGATTTATTAGTTTAAACTTGCTGAGTCACGAGCGAGGAGCAGCGAACAATAGAGCCACCGTGAACATCAAGGGAGGGAAATTGGTGTGGAATGTAGCATTTTCTATTCATATAATTTTTTTTCACAAGCACGGTTCATTTGCCCACGGATTGTTGAGTCACTGCAGTGCAAGAACTCCGCTCCAGAGCGCTACCTTCCGTGTAGAGCTCAGACTTTCGATTAGCCAAGCGATCGATCACCGATTGTTGGTTCTCGTCAAATATCACGAAAATAGTTGGGGGGTGGGAGGGGGGAAGTCTCCCCTCTGTTCCTACGCATGCCACTGGACGGGAGGTGACGGACGGGGCTTCGTGACATCATCGGTCGTGTTACACGAACTGTCAGTTGTGGGGGGGGGGGGGGGGGGGGGGCGGGCAGCCATTGTTGTAAAGGGGCCACAAAGTAAGCGACCACGCAAATCAATATTTCGTCGTATTTTTTCCCAAACCCTCTCCCGTGTGGCGCACCGCAGTTGATCGAGGACCTTCGGCGTGAGCTGGAGCACCTGCAGCTCTTCCGCCTGGAGATGGAGCGTGGGGGGCGAGGGCGCAGCGCCTCCTCGGGCCTGCAGGAGTACAACACGCGCACGCGCGAGGCCGAGCTCGAACAGGAAGTGCGCAGGGTCAAGATGGTGAGGGCTTCACACAGGGGGCCCCTCACACGGGGCGGGGGGCGCTCACACAGCGGGCCTCACACAGGCCTCAAATGGGGGGGGGCTCACACAGGACCTCACGTGGGCCACCATGGGGCACAATGGGGGAGGGGGGGAGGGTCCGTTTGCATCATTAAATACTGGCCTGATCAAGCAAGCCGGGTGGCTCAAGAATCAGTGATGCTGGACCACAGAGATCCTGAGTTCATCTATTTGGGTGCAAGCGGCCTGTGATTAAACTGGGTTCACAAGTGAAGGAAGCCCAGAATAATAAGTTAACTGCCGTTCAGTGTTCCATCTCTCCTCGCTCACGTTCCTCTCGGGCCGCGTGCGGAGTTTGACACTGGGAGACCGCTCGAGGTAATGGAAGTTTGTCCTGGTCCTTCCTGCACAGGAAAACCGCAAGCTGAAGGAATCTAACGATGAGCTTAACGGGCAGATCATCAGCCTGAGCCTCCAGGAGGCCAAGAACCTCTTCTCGGCCGCCACCAAGTCTCATTCGCTCGCCGCGGAGATTGACTCGGCCTCACGGGACGAGGTACGGGAGGGAGGACTGGTGACACGCACGTACTCACTCACTCACTCGCACGCACACACGCATGCACTCACGCACACACGCATGCACTCACGCATGCACTCGCACGCACCCGCGTTTACACATTACATGCGGCTTCCTGTGGAGACGTTTTGCCACTTGCAGATCCTGTTCAGCTCAGTGTGTAATGAATGGTAGGCGTTGATTAAAATGTATTATTATGCTCATGATACACGCTTGAAATCAGTGATATGTTTTCTCATATGTGTTGTGTACAATTGGTCCATGTGGCTCTGCAGCCACGAGAGGTGCTACATTTTCAGAATGGGAAAAAAAAAAGGAAATTGAATGATTCAGGGTCACGATTCTAACAAAATGGTACAACCAATATAAAGAAATTAATAAATTATTAAATCTTTTCGCCCCTTCAAATCGTGATAATTCATCACCGGGGTGGTAACGCATTGAATGCCTTCCAGTCCCTGCCACTGACGAGGAAGCTAAAAGCGGTATTTTTTTATGTTATCGTCTTTATTTTCTCTCCTGACGCATTCTCATCAGCCCAACCTCATTGCGCTCTCTCTCAACCTCACCGTCTCTAACAGTCAACCTTTGTGTGCCCGGCAGCTGATGGTCGCTTTCAAAGAGCTGGAGGACATCAACGCGCACCTGCGACAATACATGGACAAGATCATCCTGGCCATCCTGGACCACAACCCCTCCATCCTGGAGATTAAGTCGTAACCCAGCGGGGGCGGGCGGCAACCGCCAGGCACCCACGTGCCCCGGACGGAGCGATGCCCGCGCATGGGCCAGGGATAGTTTTGATTGCAGTGGCACTCACGATCTCTTCTGCGATCACGTAGGCGACTGCGGTGCAATAAATGTCGCCACCTAAATTCACGAGAGCGGAGAGAAGGCGTAGTGTTTGTTTTGGTGCGACACTGCGGGTCGAGGCCTCCACAGTCGGGACGTGACTTTATTCCCAGTGCTTTGGCCTCTCCGTATGGGACCGCAAATTCACAAAATCTTTCCTGGATTGTGCCATCTGGACATATTGAAAAGACCGCTATTAAAAATGAAAATATATTTGGTTCCGACAAATGATTAATTTATTAAATTGATTGTGGCTTGTTGGGTGTAATAGAGGTGGGGGAGCACGTGAGCATGATTGTGCGTGGTTTTCTCAAAGAAATAGTCAAAAATGTGTTTACGTTTGCTGCAGGCGATGGCTCGGCACGGTAATGGGGGGCCTCGCGAGGTCATAATTCACTCCACGCCCACCGGCTGTTGCCGCATCATCAACCCGTTTTACAAAACCCCACTCCTGAAATTAGATTTTTATTCGGCTTTTTATCCCATCTGTAACAACTCGGGCCAACGTTCACAAATTCAGTGGAGCCGTATCTCGTAAGGCACTTTATTATTTTGCACTCCCCCCCCCCCCCCCCCCCCCGTCAGTGTCTGTGAGAGATCCCAGGCCACCCCTCTTGCTTTGCTGTTCGTCTTTGTTCCCCGGTTTCAGTAAAAAAACTTGGCTTCGTGCAGCTTTCACAGCTGCTGCGGTGAGAACTGGAGATGGGGGACCTCGGCTTTATTTAAAATCAATATCGGCAGGGACATGGGGCCTCTCTTCTCGTGGTAGCCCATCTGCCTGCTCGTTACAGAGGTCCGCGGTTCGAATCCAGCTCCCCCCCCCCCTCCTTGATTAATACTGCGGTGTGGTATTAACTGTAAAAATATGCGCTGTCTGCTTCATGGTGACCGTTAAAGATCCCGTGATGCCATTCGAATGAGTGGACCCATCGTGTGCCGGCGGCGAGGGCCAAATTTGCCAAAAAGTAAAAAAAATAAAAATACCCACAAATTACGACTCGGTTGGAATAAATATACGCGGCGATCATCGCACCAAACCGCAAAAAAAAAATGAGCAGGACCCTCCTAAAAAGAGGCAAGTCTCAGTGAGGCTTTCCTGGGTTAAATAAGCATTGTATGAAAGACAATAAATACATGTCTGATGTTGCCACCATGCTGCCGTGAGACCCGCTATTTTAATTGGGCTTCGTTTTTTTGCATTTGTCTCCATGAATGGCGCAGGACCGTCAGTGGCGCTGTTTTCATGCGACGGATAGAACAGCTTACGACTCCTTTTAAGGAGGGTCCTGCCATTGGAATATTTGGCCAATTCCACCAACGAGTGTTTGTTTGACTTGTGATGAGAAACCGTGAGTACCCGGAGAAAAACCCCATGCCTGCGATTGAATGACATGGAAATCTCCGCACAGATGGAATAAACCCACTTGCTGTACTGTGACACGACCCACCGACCCTCATCTCCGAAGTGCTCTATCGCGGGTGTGCGGTGCCTCTCGGCTCACGGTGCCTCTCGGCTCACGGTGCCTCTCGGCTCACTCCCTCACAGCCGACAGTGGGGCCCCCTCGTCCAGCTGGGCCGTCGCCTGTAGCAGCACATCTGTTGTAAGCCACCGGCTTTGGCTCCATTGCGACTCAAGGAGGCCACTGCTCCCTCGCCCCTGGGCATTTTAAGGCTAGTGGGGTTGCACGTCACATGCCTTCGTCGCGGCTCGGTGTAGGGAGCGCGGGATCCTCTTTTACGGAGGATGCCTGCATTGACTTTGGAAACACGCAGTTGTCCTCAGCGTCTTGCATGACCAGTGGTGGCGGCGATGGTGGCAGCAGCAGCATAATTACTCTATTTAGATGACTGTATATTGTGGTGGTCTGTTGTGTAAAATTCGGATGGCGCTAAGTACCAGTGATATTCACTGCTAGGGCACTTTCTGCTTGGAGGGAAAAAAATCCGACAAACTCCTGAAAAGAAAACGAGAAATTTCGTTTAAATGTACTGCTTTTTTTTTTACAATCATGTTTAATATTACTGTAAACATTGCCACGGCCGGCTTCCAGATCTCTCGAAACTTGAATAATTAACTTTCCATCCACATGGAGACAACCTCACAACTGCACGCAATGCAACCGCGGAGCTCCTCGCTTTATCGGTAAATGTTGTGTCTGCTTGATATTGCACAAACATAACTCTTCTCATTCCATAGCAGAGAGATTGTGTTACCCACACTTTACCCCACCGCAAGGAACGTGCCAATCGGTTGACTGGAGGGTACCTGGCAGCTGTCTCGGGGACAACTCCACTTGAGGTGCTGTCCTCGTTTAAAGGGGGTTGGTGTTCTGGGGGGAAAAACCCCGTGATTAAAAACTTGATAACCCACATGCTGATGGAGCCACAGTGTATTTAACGATTCCGTCACTCCCCCATCCGCCTGAATCTGCACTCTCAACAGAACCGTACTCTCTGGACAAATGTACTTTCGTGGGTTTTCAAGCGGTTTTTTTCCTTCTCCAGGACACCCCTGAGTAGGTGGAAGTGCATGTCACTGTCAGGTTGGGCGACCTCTCCCCGGGCTACGTGTGAACAGCTGACCGATGTAGTCGCAACACAAAGCGTGCCCTTGATCCCTAACAAGCTTTGTGCGAGTGCACCTGCCCTGCCTTGGAGTCACGGGTTGACCTTCAGATGCGAGCACATTCATAAAAGGGATGGTTGCTTTACGCGCTCCAAGGTGAGCTCTGGGTGGAGGTGCGTCGTTCTAAGGTGGCGGTAATCTCCGAGACGCTCCCCTTGCCCAGGGGAAGAGGAGCGTTCACTGGAACGCCATGGCAAGTCGATGGGTTGATCCTGCCTACGATTTGAACTCGTACTAATTGTAGGTAGGAGCAACGTTGCTTGAATAATGTGAGGTCATTGGACCTTAAAGCATAACATATAAGAAAAAACACTTGTCAATTTTCCAATCTGTAAATTATATATATACTTAAAATATTTCGTCTATTGTATGAGCATTGCACACGCGCACGCACATTGTGTTCAAGATACTTATTACGTTATGTTTATGTTGCACATTTGTGTAAATGTTTGCTTCGATTACCTGAGCCTATTCAAATGCGCAATTAAGATATTTATAAAGAAAAAAATACAGAAAATTTACAAAAATAATTTAGAATAGCAAAAATGTAGAGGCACAATGTGAAAAAAAACTACTTTTTATAATGCCTTGCATCATCAGCTTCTGTTGAATTCCAGTGCACTCGGTGATCGCGATTGTTAATTTTGTACTGTGGTTTAATTTAAAATGTGCTTGTTATCTTTGACATAAAATGTAAGTTATATCTCAATAATCCTCACCGTAATATATGTCCAAGAGAATCGCTAATGACACGTGGAGTATTAATGTTAAGAGACTCGGTCTCATTGCTCTAGGATTAGTCGTTCTGTAGGACAATATCTGTGGACCTCCCACTGAGGTCCGCCGATGTCTTTCGCCCCAGGCAGTGCTATTTTATCGACCCCAGAGAAACGACGACGATGATGATTGGCGTGGGTCCGAGATGATCCTGGCTGAAATTTCAACGTGAAATTTCCAAGGATGGGGGCGCCCTCCTGCTTCCGCTGGGCTCTGTCCCAGATTCTTTAAAAAAAAAACAAAATCATTAATCAACTGTGTGACCCAGGAATATGAATTCCTGCACTCATTGAAGCTTTCAGTCAAGATTCAACATTGTGCTGTTTTCGTCCGTGTTAATTTGGCTAAGGGCATCTCTTGAAGCACTTGTAAACCATTCTCCGAGGCGTTTATTGCACGTGCAGTCCGCTGTCGACGGCACACGGCCGAGACGGCCGGAGGTCTCGCGCGTGTGGGTGTGTGCGCGATAAGACGGAATGTCGTCTGTATGTCCGTCGGCTCGAGATTGTTGACATCCTATGTCGGGCGTGTTTCGCCCCCCACGTTCTCACGACTCGTTCTCACGAAGAAAGGCCTCGATCACGTGCGCACACAAATTGGCACAGGTCCATAAGTTTTGAGGTGACAGTCATCAAACCGCAAAGTTTCCCATTTATCAAATAAACCGAGGCATGTTTTGAATCGCATTGTATTATTATTTTTTCACCGTAACCTTGCAGGGTATTTGTGCTAAAGATTGGAGTATTTTATTTAAATAATATATATTTGAAAACAACACTACGAATAACAACACTATTTAAATGTGTAATTGGACAGCCAGTAACTAATTTAGGTGACATACATTCATACAACTTACACATATATTTGGAATGGCCTGCATCGAACAAAATCGTCCCATCCTCAAAACTTGTCCCTGCCGCGAAATTAAACTTCGTGCGAAGCGCACCGACTGTTGCCGGCACCGACTGCTGCCGGCACCGACTGCTGCCGGCACCGACTGCTGCCGGCACCGACTGCTGCCGGCACCGACTGATATTGGCACCGACTGTTGCCGGCACCGACTGCTGCCGGCACCGACTGATGCCGGCACCGACTGATATCGGCACCGACTGTTGCCGGCACCGACTGCTGCCGGCACCGACTGCTGCCGGCACCGACTGATATTGGCACCGACTTGCCGGCACCGACTGCTGCCGGCACCGACTGATGCCGGCACCGACTGATATCGGTACCGACTTGCCGGCACCGACTGCTGCCGGCACTGACTGTTGACTGTTGCCAGTTAATTTTGCCAATGGAAGTTGCGTCCCCACGTTATTGATAATACGCACGATGTCAAAATAACTGCGTAGATGTTTTTTTTCTTCTTCTCATTCACAAAGGCAAGTGTGGTCAGAGGCGCGCGGCGTAACACCCAGACGATGAACAATAACTCCGATAGCTGTCGAGGTGCGCTCACAACGTTGTGCATCTTTTAGTTTTTCCATTTTTATTTAAAGAGGGGGGGGGGGGGTCACGTGAATGCCGTTGCCTGTTGAATCGCAAATAAATCAGTCGTGCCTATTTCACAGCGCTTGCGTGGTATTATTATTATTGTTCTCTCGTGAACTGTGACTGGTTTTTGTTGTCCACGTGTTCACCCACGCGGTGGTCACGCTGCCGGTGATGTGGACAGCGAGCGGCAGCTCGTTCCGCCTCCGTTTAGCACGGTTGGCTACGCACGGTGCGAAAGAAGTTCTACACAAGCATGCATACATCGGGGCCATCCATAAATGACGTCACGCGATTTTTGACGATTTTTGACCCCCCCCCTCTCGTCACACGGCGTCACAAAAAAATAAAACATGCTTCAAATCGCTTTAAACTATTGTCATTGTAGTGCGTATTTAATGTGGCGCTGCACTTTGATGTTGTAGGAGAAAACATTTTTCGATTTAAAGCTTTCGTGACTGCAGGGATTCATCTTCTTGGTTCTTTCGGTAAAGTCACGTAGAAGGGAAATAATAAAATAATAAAAAGAAAACATGATAAAATAATTCTCACGACGTTTCGGCCACAACGCAAGCAGCCCGTCCTCAGGTGAAGACCAGGTCTGTCGGGGAGACAGCGTCTGAATGAAACACCACCACGCTTGGAGCGTATATTTAAGCTGGGTTGGAAGGGGGGAAGGGCGCCTTGACAAAATAATTTGCATATCAAGAGAAATGTATCATATTTATGGGAACTGCAGGTATGTGATTAGTACTACTTGTGAAATGCGTAGGAGGTGGGCGGGGGGTTTCAAAGTCATTATGCCCGTGCATTATGCAGGATTAGCAGCATCAAAGGGAAGGGGTAGGGGTAGTATTAATAAAGGGAAGGAATGTTAATAGTATGTAGCTGCAGTAACTAAACAACCACTTAAAAAACTAAAGTATAAACTACATAGTATCATCAGTATACTAAATATACTCTCCAATAAGCTGAGCTACTAACAGTAAGTAACACATTACAATTCTATGTCGCAAAAAATATAATATGCTTCCAGCTAAACTTGTTTCCTTACATCACACGGGTCTACCCCGTACTATATACTGCCTTATACAAACCCAACAAACCCAACATTAAATTATATACTGGTGTATAGTAATACAGTATGTAATTTAATGTTGGGTTTGTCTGACTCCCACCCCCCTAGGTGCGTGACGTCATTTATGGACGGCACCGTAGCCAAGAGGAGCCGCGATGTAGAATAGCCTCGGTGTGACCGCGCCAGAAAAATCCAATATTAGGCACCTCACTCGACTGACTGTCGCACCCCCCTGAGCTGATAAATGTCGTCACTACGTCACTGATCGTCACTACACCACTACGTCACTACGTCACTGGTCGTCACTACGTCACTGGTCGTCACTACGTCACTGGTCGTCACTACGTCACTACGTCACTGGTCGTCACTACGCAACTACGTCACTGGTCGTCACTACGCCACTGGTCGTCACTACGTCACTGGTCGTCACTACGTCACTGATCGTCACTACGTCACTGGTCGTCACTACGTCACTACGTCACTGGTCGTCACTACGCCACTACGTCACTGGTCGTCACTACGCCACTGGTCGTCACTACGTCACTGGTCGTCACTACGTCACTGATCGTCACTACGCCACTATCGTCACTACGTCACTGGTCGTCACTACGTCACTGATCGTCACTACGTCACTGATCGTCACTACGTCACTGGTCGTCACTACGTCACTACGTCACTGGTCGTCACTACGCCACTGGTCGTCACCACGCCACTATCGTCACTACGTCACTGGTCGTCACTACGTCACTGGTCGTCACTACGTCACTGATAGTCACTACGTCACTACGTCACTGATCGTCACTACGTCACTGGTCGTCACTACGTCACTGATAGTCACTACGTCACTACGCCACTGGTCGTCACTACGCCACTGGTCGTCACTACATCACTGATAGTCACTACTTCATTGATCGTCACTACGCCACTGGTCGTCACTACGTCACTGGTCGTCACTACGTCACTGGTCGTTACTACGTCACTACGTCACTGATCGTCACTACGTCACTGGTCGTCACTACGTCACTGGTCGTCACTACGCCACTGGTCGTCACTACGCCACTGATCGTCACTACGTCACTACGTCACTGATCGTCACTACGCCACTGGTCGTCACTACGCCACTGGTCGTCACTACGTCACTGGTCGTCACTACTTCACTACGTCACTGATCGTCACTACGCCACTGATCGTCACTACGTCACTGGTCGTCACTACGCCACTGATCGTCACTACGCCACTGGTCGTCACTACGTCACTGATCGTCACTACGCCACTATCGTCACTACGTCACTGATCGTCACTACGTCACTGATCGTCACTACGCCACTGGTCGTCACTACGCCACTGGTCGTCACTACGTCACGATCGTCACTACGTCACTGATCGTCACTATGTCACTGATCGTCACTACGCCACTGATCGTCACTACGTCACTGGTCGTCACTACGCCACTGATCGTCACTACGCCACTGATCGTCACTACGCCACTGGTCGTCACTACGCCACTGGTCGTCACTACGCCACTGGTCGTCACTACGTCACGATCGTCACTACGTCACTGATCGTCACTATGTCACTGATCGTCACTACGCCACTGATCGTCACTACGTCACTGGTCGTCACTACGCCACTGATCGTCACTACGCCACTGATCGTCACTACGCCACTGGTCGTCACTACGCCACTGGTCGTCACTACGCCACTGGTCGTCACTACGCCACTGATCGTCACTACGTCACTGATCGTCACTACGCCACTGGTCGTCACCACGCCACTGGTCGTCACCACGTCACTGGTCGTCACCACGTCACTGGTCGTCACTACGTCACTGGTCGTCACTACGTCACTGGTCGTCACTACGTCACTGATAGTCACTACGTCACTACGTCACTGGTCGTCACTACGTCACTGATAGTCACTACGCCACTGGTCGTCACTACGTCACTGGTCGTCACTACGTCACTACGTCACTGATCGTCACTACGCCACTGGTCGTCACTACGTCACTGGTCGTCACTACGTCACTGGTCGTCACTACGCCACTGATCGTCACTACGCCACTGGTCGTCACTACGCCACTGGTCGTCACTACGCCACTGGTCGTCACCACGCCACTGATCGTCACCACGCCACTGGTCGTCACCACGCCACTGGTCGTCACCACGTCACTGGTCGTCACCACGTCACTGGTCGTCACCACGTCACTGGTCGTCACCACGTCACTGGTCGTCACCACGCCACTGGTCGTCACCACGTCACTGGTCGTCACCACGTCACTGATCGTCACCACGCCACTGGTCGTCACTACGTCACTACGTCACTGGTCGTCACTACGTCACTGGTCGTCACCACGTCACTGATCGTCACCACGCCACTGGTCGTCACCACGCCACTGGTCGTCACCACGTCACTGGTCGTCACCACGCCACTGGTCGTCACCACGTCACTGGTCGTCACCACGTCACTGGTCGTCACCACGTCACTACGCCACTGATCGTCACCACGCCACTGGTCGTCACCACGTCACTGATCGTCACCACGTCACTGATCGTCACTACGTCACTGGTCGTTACTACGTCACTACGCCACTGATCGTCACTACGCCACTGATCGTCACTACGTCACTGATCGTCACTACGTCACTGATCGTCACCACGTCACTGGTCGTCACGACGTCACTGATCGTCACCACGTCACTGGTCGTCACTACGTCACTGGTCGTCACTACGTCACTGGTCGTCACTACGTCACTATCGTCACTACGCCACTGATCGTCACTACGCCACTGGTCGTCACTACGTCACTATCGTCACTTCGCCACTGGTCGTCACTACGCCACTGGTCGTCACTACGTCACTATCGTCACTACGCCACTGATCGTCACTACGCCACTGATCGTCACTACGTCACTATCGTCACTACGTCACTATCGTCACTACGTCACTGATCGTCACTACGTCACTATCGTCACCACGTCACTGGTCGTCACTACGTCACTATCGTCACTACGCCACTGGTCGTCACTACGTCACTGGTCGTCACTACGTCACTATCGTCACTACGTCACCGGTCGTCACTACGTCACCGATCGTCACTACGTCACCGGTCGTCACTACGTCACTAATCGTCACTACGCCACTGGTCGTCACTACGTCACTATCGTCACTACGCCACTGGTCGTCACTACGTCACTACGTCACTATCGTCACTACGTCACCGGTCGTCACTACGTCACCGGTCGTCACTACGTCACCGATCGTCACTACGTCACCGGTCGTCACTACGTCACCGGTCGTCACTACGCCACCGATCGTCACTACGCCACCGGTCGTCACTACGTCACCGGTCGTCACTACGCCACCGGTCGTCACTACGTCACTAATCGTCACTACGTCACTGATCGTCACTACGTCACTGGTCGTCACTACGCCACCGATCGTCACTACGCCACCGGTCGTCACTACGCCACCGATCGTCACTACGCCATCGATCGTCACTACGCCACCGGTCGTCACTACCTCACTAATCGTCACCACGCCACTGATCGTCACCACGCCACTGGTCGTCACCACGCCACTGGTCGTCACCACGTCACTGATCGTCACCACGTCACTGGTCGTCACCACGTCACTGGTCGTCACCACGCCACTGGTCGTCACCACGTCACTGGTCGTCACCACGTCACTGATCGTCACCACGCCACTGGTCGTCACTACGTCACTACGTCACTGGTCGTCACTACGTCACTGGTCGTCACCACGTCACTGATCGTCACCACGCCACTGGTCGTCACCACGCCACTGGTCGTCACCACGTCACTGGTCGTCACCACGCCACTGGTCGTCACCACGTCACTGGTCGTCACCACGTCACTGGTCGTCACCACGTCACTACGCCACTGATCGTCACCACGCCACTGGTCGTCACCACGTCACTGATCGTCACCACGTCACTGATCGTCACTACGTCACTGGTCGTTACTACGTCACTACGC